CCCTCTCACTGTCTATGTCTCTCGCTCTTTGGCAAGCTCACGTACTCCTAAAGCAAAAACAAAAATGAACAAAAAACTCCCCCTCCCCCCCAAAAAAAATGACAGGAAGGAAAATCATGTTGTGCTGGTTAAGAGCATGAACTCTAAAGCTAAACTGAAGAAATGTCTGTTCAAGTCATGCCCATTTGGATTCCCGATTTTGCCACCTCCTAGTTATGTGATTTTCAGGAAATTATTTAACCGATCTGTGTTTTAACTCCTCGTGTAAAATGGGAATAATACTACTGTGGTCCATTTTTATAGAGTTGTGATTAAATGAGTTTGTGTTTATAGCATACTGAGAATAATGTCCAGCACTTAGGAGGTACTCAGTGTTTAACTACTTGTTCCAGTTTCTGAACTAAAGTTAAGTATTAGTCATTCCCCCAGATCTGAGAGGAACAGAGGTATCCCCTTGATGGTAACAGGCCTCTAAGCTATTCTTCTGCTAGCCCAGAGACAGAATTGCGTGGTAGTGAAGAACACAGGCTTCGAAATAATTAAAAACTGGGTTTGATTAATAGTTTTACTTCTTAATGTTTTCATGAGAGTAAAAAAGTTACTTGGTTTATCTTATTTCCTCATATATAAATGAGTAATGAAGTTTATCCCAGAGTGTCAGGCTTATGTGAAATAATTTCTAAAAATCTTTCAGCAAAATGCCTAGCACATAAATAAATGTTGACTACTATTATTACTATTTCCCTATTTACATCTCACTAATGTGGCCATCATATTGTCAGATTTTTTACGAAAGGTGATATCCATGTCTGAAAATCCACAAGTACAAAGAATTTAATCAGTCCCCTCCATCTGGACTACTGGTTCTGTCACCACCTGCTTTCTTAAATGTGCTGTCCATCTCTTTTTTGTATCTCCTTTAAAAAAAAAAAAAAAAAATGGAGGCTGGCTTCATAGCTTAGAGGTAAAGGGAGCTGGATGCCACATGGCTGGACACGGTTTGTGTCCCAACCCTAGTGGCTTGACAAACGTGCCAGGTGAGTGTGCATGTGTGTACAAAATCCCAACAGGATGGAGAAATGTGAGGGAAGGGATTGCAGCACTGTGTCCCACTGGGGGAGGGGGGGAGGTTTCCCCTTCCTCTCCATTTCTCTCTGTCTCTCTATAGAGAGTACATGTGCTTTATGGCAATTTAAATAAATAAATATAAATTAAAAGTTCAGTTAAATTTACATTGGTATTGTACAAGGCACCGCCTTAGAAAAGAGTCACCAAACCTCCCAGTGCTTTGACCTTAAACTTCTCAGCCTCCAGAACTGTGAATAAATGTATATCTGTTTATAAATTACCCAATCTATAGTAATCTGTTATACCAGCACAGACTGTGATAGAAATCTATTTGCTCTTTTGTTACTCATGCTTTTGTGTAATTTCTAAAAATCCACTGCCAAATTCAAGGTCATGAAGGTTTACCCTATGTTTCTTCCTAAGAATTTTATGGGTTTAGGTTTTTTTAATTATTTATTATTATTTTTAGAATTATTTTATTTAATTTTATTCATTGTCTTTTTTTTTTTTTTAAGTTGACCAGAGAGAGACAGAGAGAGAAGAAAAGTGAGAAAACAAGCTGCCAGATCTGAGATTCGAACCATGGTCAGCCATGTGGGAGTCCAGCGTCCTTAACCACCATGCCACCTGCCGGCCCACAGGTTTAGCTTTTATATTTACTTCATTAATCAATTTTAAGTTAACTTATGTACATGGAATGAGGTTGAGATCTAACTTCATTCTTTTGCAAGTACATAATCAGTTGGCCTAATACCATTTGTTGAAGCGACCACTTGAATGGTCTTGGAACCCTTGCTGAATCATTTGGCCATAGTTGTATGAGTTCATTCTAGATTTTCAATTCCACCTCATTGGTCTATATGCCTATCCTTATATCAGTACACACTACTTGCTACTATAGTTTGTAGCATGTTTTGAAATTAGAGGAGTGAGTCCTTCATTTTGTTCTTTTTCAGTATTGTTTTGACTATTCAGGGTCACTTGCAATTCCATACAAACTTGAGTATAAGCTCTTCCAGGTCTGCAAAAAATAACTATTAAAATTTTGATAAGAATTATATTGATGATGGGGACAGCAGGTGGTGTGGTGGTTAATGGTGCTGGACTCCCACATGGCCAACTGCAATTAGAGTCCCAGACTTTGCGGTTTGTTTTCTCACTTTCTCTTTCTCTCTCTCTCTCTCTCTGTCTCTCTGTCCTTCTTTGGTCAAATTAAAATAAATAAATAGAGTTAAATAAAATAATTCTTAAAAAAAATTACATTGATGAAAAGCTATTTGCTGCTGCTGATGTGTATAGTAATGTCTTTGTCTTAACTGATATGCATGGTAATCATGCTGGAAAAAGAAATATTATACACATAAAGACATATGTGATTGCAGGACCAGCAGTTAGCGTAATGGCTATGTCGCTGGACTCCCACGTAGTCGACCGCGGTTCGCGTCCCGGACCCGGTGGCTTAAAACTCACGCTGGGCGCGTGTGCGTGTGTGCCCAAGATTCCGAGAGGAGAATGGAAGAGAAGGGATTGCGGCGTGACCATCCCCCCTGGGGGGTGATTTCTCACTTTCTGTCTCTATGTCTCTCTCTGTCTGGCGAGCGCACGTGCACTATAGCAAAAATCTCTCCAAAAAAAAAAAAAAAAAGATATATGTGATTAAATGTAATATAAAAGAAGGAAAGAAAGAATTACATTGAATATGTAGACAAATTTGAGTAGTATCATTATCATAGCAATATTAAAATCTTCCAATCCATGAACATGGGTGTCTTTCTACCTATTCAGATCTTATTTCATTTCTTTCAGCAATATACAACTTTTTCACCTCCTTGGTATAATTATTTTTAGGCATTTTATTATTTTGGATGCTATCATAAATGGAATTTTTAAAATAATTTTGCTGGGACCAGGAAATGGCATGGTGATTGAGATGCTGGACTCCCACATGGCAACAACCATGGTTTGAGTCCCAGACTTGGCAGCTTGCTTTCTAACTTTGTGCCTCTCTCTCCCTGGTGAGCGCGCTTGCCCTATAGCAAAAAAAGAAGAAGAAGAGAGAAGAGGAGGAGGAGGAGGAGGAGGAGCAGGAGGAAGAGGAGCAAGGACGTTAAGAATATAGGCTGTCATCCCCACTGCCTCTGCCATGCTGTGGAGTGGGGTTTGGTGGTCAGGCAAACAAAAGCACCACAGTGCTTTTTTTTTTTAATTATTTGTTTTCTTAACTCCATTGTTATTATTATTTCATTTGACCAGACAGAGACAGAGAGAGAGAAAGGGAAAGCAAGAGAGCAAGCCGCCAGGTCGGGGACTTAAATGCATTCAGCCATGTGGGAATCCAGTGCCTTTAACTACCACGCCACCTACTGACCCCCACAATGCTTTATTTTTTTGAGAGGCTTTTGCTATAGGGCATGTGAGTTCACCAGAAAGACAGAGAGAAACAGAGAGACAGAAAGCAAGAAATCGCCCCCAGGGGGATGGCCACGCCACAATCCCTTCTCCTCCATTCTCCTTTCGGGATCTTGGGCATGCACGCACACGCGCCAGGCGTGAGTTTAAGCAACCAGGTCCGGGACTCGAACCGCTGTCGACTACGTGGGAGTCCAGCGACATAGCCATTATGTGCTTACCAGGTCCCTCCTTTGTTTCAAAAAATAAGTTCTACTTTTATAAGAAAAAAGATATATAAGTGTATGCCATTTTCATTGAACTAAAATAAGCACTTTCTTCAGAATATATTTTTAGTTTCCAAATTTTATATTTAGTCCTTTACTCCTAATGACATAGTGGTGAGTTTCTTTCCTTTTTTTCCCTACTTTCAATGCAAATTCTTGGTACTTTTTCATTTTAGCTACAAAATTTTTAATAAATAAAATTTTGTTGATTTATGAAAACTAAAGGGTGGGTGTGAGTTAAGGAAAACAAAGTAGTAATATAGAGAAAAGCATGAGGTCTCGTGTCATTCAGACCATGATCTAGAGCCTGGCTTCACTGCTCCTAACTCTGTGTCCTTGGGCAATTCATATAACGTCACTTTCCTTGGCCTTACAGCAGGTATAACGATACTGTGTTTATTTTATTTTTTAGAGAGATTTTTGCGATAGGGCATGTGTGCTTACCAGAGAGACAGAGACAGAGAGATAGAAAGTGAGAAACCACGCCCCCTGGGGAGATGACCACTCTGTAATCCCTCCAGTCTCCTCTTGGGATTTGTGGGCATGCATGCACACATGCCTAGCATGAGTTTTAAGCCACCGAGTCCAGGGTTCAAACTGCAGTTGACCATGTGGGAGTCTAGTAATATAACCATTAGGCCAAATTGATGGTCCTGATACCATGTTTATTTTAAAGAATTATAGTGAGGCTTAGGAGGTAATATGTGAACTTCAAAATCTGACTTCTGACAGGCACATAGCTCATACCTAATATTTAACAGCTACAAAACTACTGTGATTGTAAAGGAAAGTTCATTCTATCCTCTCAATTGATGGACTGATACTTTGAGCAGTTCATAAATAATTCTGTATAGGTAAGCTGTTTGGGAAAAATCACATCTAATAAACAATCGATTAAAATGTCATGTTTCAGGGCTGGCAGGTGGCATGGTGGATAAAGGTGCTGGATTCCCACATGGTCGACCACAGTTCAAGTCCTGGACCTGGCGGCTTACTTTCTCGCTTTCCCTTTCTCTCTCTCTCTCTCTCTCTCTCTCTGTCTCTGTCTGGTCAGAGACAGAGACAGACAGGAAATGAGAAAGCACCCCATGGGGGAATGCCTACATCACAGTCCCTTCTCCATTCTCCTTGGAATTTGGAAATTGGAAAATAATAATAACAAATGGAATTAAATAAATAAATAATAATTTTTTTTTAAATGTCATGTTTCAGTTTAACCTATTGTTGAAGGCATATTTTTCTATGTCTTCCTTTCAGGTAAAGGACTTATCTTCTGACACACTTCTCCAACAGCATGATGATTTAGACTCAGCGCTGGATGGTTGTTACAGTGGAGATACAGTAGTTATATTTCCAGGAGAATATCAAGCTGCAAATCTTGCTTTATTGACGGACGACATCATTATAAAGGGTCAGCAAGGCATCCTTTGCAGTTTTGTACAGCAATGTATGCTGAACACATTGAGTATTACAAATATGCTTGATGGAATTACTAGCAAGTAGAGCAGAGTCTATGTCTCACAAAAGTCCCTTTGCGATTAAGACCTCTTCTTCATATTGTCTATTATTTCCATCTATAGTTTTACCAAAACTACTTTTTTCTCATTTATCGCTACTGCTCTTCACATCTCTTTAACAGTAAAACCTATATTGAAGACTATATTAAAATATACTCAGCATTTTCTGAAAAGGGCTAGTTCACTTGATAACTTACCAAGACAAATAGAAAAGCAAAGTGTAATACATTTTTTAGGTTGTGAACATATTTAGTACCATTATCCCTGTCCTTTTACTTTGAAGTAAGGGAATTTCTATTTGTCAAAAGATAAAAACTTATCAATTAAAAAATCAAGCAAATTCACTATTTTGATAACTATAATCAGAAATATTTTGCTGAACTATATGGATAAGGATCATAAATGTAACTTTAAAATTTTATTGTCTTCCTGAGAATACAGCATATTATTTCTGGGCTCATATCAAATTTCAATAACTGCTTTGACTACTTACTCTAGGACAAAATTATGAACCTGATTATATTAATCTAAATTAATTCAAGAGTCTCTGCAGCCTTTTTAAAAATTTGTCAGATGGCATGTGCAATCACCAGAGCCAGACAGAAAATGAGAAGGCACCCCTGAGGGATGGCCACACCACAGTTCCTTCTCCATTCTCCTTTTGGAATTTTGGGCACACACACACACACATGCGCCTGGTGTGTTTTTCAAGCTGCAAGGTTCGGAATTCAAATCACACAGTAAGCCATGTGAGATCCACCAACTTTAACCACCATGCTACTAGCTTGGGAGTCTTTTATTTTCTTTCTTTCTTTCTTTTTTTTTTTTTTTAGAGATTTCTGCTATAGGGCACTTGCGCTTGCCAGAAAGACAGAGAAACAGAAAGCAAGAAATCATCCCCTCAGGGGGGATGGCCACGCCGCAATCTCTTCTCCTCCATTCTCCTCTCAGGATCTTGAGCACGCACACACATACACCTGGCGTGAGTTTAAGCCACTGGATCCAAGACTCAAACCACAGTCGACTACATGGGAGTCCAGCGACATAGCCATTAGGCCAACTGCTGGTCCTGGGCATCTTTTATTTTCTTAAAGAACTGTTTATTAACTTTATAGTTTTATTATTATTTTATTAATTTGTTTTTAATTTTGCATAGTCCACCTGTGTTCACCAGAGACAGATAGAGAGGAAGGGAAAGTGAGAAAACAATCCACCAGGCCCGGGATTTGAACTGTGGTCAGCCATGTGAGAATGCTAGTACCTTAACTACCACAATACCTGATGGCCCCTTGTCAGTCTTTTGTTGTTGTTGTTGTTGTTAAGAATTATTTGTTTAATTTAATTAACTTATTATTATTATTATTATTATTATTATTATTATAAATTTAACCAGAGAGAGAGAGAAAGTGAGAAAGCAAGCTGCCAAGGTCTGGAATTTGAACCACAGTCGGCCATGTGGGAGTCCAGCACCTTAACCACCATGCCACCTACTGGCCCCCGCTTGCCAGTCTTTTTAAGTTATGTATTTTTGAATATTGTACATGTTTGCTGATTTTCAGATACAGGAAAACATAATGGAATGAGTATGTTCAATGAACATCATAGATACATTTAAATTTATTGTAAACCGAGGTTTTTCCATCATGGCATCAAAAAAAAAGTACAGATTGCAGCTGGCAGGGACTTGGAGGTGGATGGCAGTGGAAGGACCCTGTTAAGAGTGCTGCCTTGGGACCAGCAGTTGGCATAATGGCTGTGTTGCTGGACTCTCATGTAGTCGACCGCTGTTTGAGTCCTGGACCCGTGACTTAAACTCATGCCAGGCGCATGTGTGTGTGTGCCCAAGATCCCAAGAGGAGAATGGAGGAGAAGGGATTGTGGTGTGGCCATCCCCCCTGGGAAGTGATTTCTCGCTTTCTGTCTCTCTGACTCTCTCTGTCTTTCTGGTGAGTGCATGCACCCCATAACAAAAACCTCTCAAAAAAAAAAAAAAAAAGTGCTGCCTCTTTGTCTCTCACTCATGAAAGAAATAGACAAAATCTCAAAAAGGAAAGAAAAAGAGGACAAAAGATTGTAGTAAATATTTATTTAAATAAAATTACATACATATTGGGTTGTCTGAAAAGTCATGGCGTATTTTTGCACAGAAGAACAAAAGAAAATATGTTATGCCTATTCTGATGATACAATATATTATTTGTTACAAATATGTGAAAGGAAAAATTTAGAAATAGTATTATTGGGGCCAGCAGGTGGCGTAGTGGTTAAGGGCACTGGACTTCCGCATGGCCGACCATGTTTCAAGTTCTGGACCCGGCAGCTTGCTTTCTTACTGCACCCCCCCAACTCTGTCTCTCTCTGGTAAGATAAATAAAGTTAAATAAAATAATTATTTTTAAAAAATAGTAAGTATTATTGAATGACTGAAGGGTTTTAAAGTGTGAGATTACTTATTTAATTATGGGTTTTTTTTGTCCCCATGAATTAGGAGTTGGAAAGAGAGAGGAAATTATGATCATTTCTGAACCTTCTCATGACAGTTTTGTGGTGTCCAAAGCTGACAATGTGAAATTAATGCATCTATCTTTGATACAACAAGGGACGGTTGACGGTATCGTGGTGGTGGAATCTGGTCACACGACTCTAGAAAACTGTATATTAAAATGTGAAGGAACAGGAGTGTGTGTTCTTACGGGGGCTGCTTTGACAATTACAGACAGTGAAATAACTGGTGCCCAGGTATCTTATCCTATAGAAGTACAACTTTATATGATTACAAATAACAATTCTGAGTGATCTTTCTGTGCAAAGAGTAGCAATTTCTTCATCTTTGAATGGAATTATAATTAAATGTAGAAACTGGTAGAAATCAACAACAGGTATTAGAGTGTCACTTATGAAAAGTGAACTGCCTAAGTCCAAAGTAAAAAATTATCAGCTAAGTGTTCTTTTTTTTTTTTAAAGAATTACTTTTGGGACTGGCAGATGACATGGTAGTTAAGGCACTGGACACTCTCACATGGCTTACCCTGGTTCGAGTCCCAGACCTGGTGGTTTGTTTTCTCACTTTCCTTATCTCTGCTTGTCTGTGTGTGTGTGTGGGGGGGGGGGGGGGTGTCTTTGGTCAAATGAAAATAAATGAATAAATAAATAAAATTAAATAAATAATTATTGGGGCTGGCCAGTGGTGTGCTGGTTAAAGGCGCTGGACTCCCACATGGCCAACCATGGTTTGAGTCCCGGACCTGGTGGCTTGCGCGCGCTCTCTCTCTCTCACTATGTCCCTCTCTGGTCAAATGAAAATAAATAAATAAATAAGTAAATAAATTTGAATAAAGTAATTCTTTTTTTTTTTAAGAATTATTTTATTTCACTTTATTTATTTATTTATTTTCATTCGACCAGAGAGGGACATAGTGGTGTAATGGCCAAGGTGCTGTATGCCCACATGGCTGACTGCAGTTCAAGTCCCTGAACCCAACAACTTGAAACTCAAGCTGGGTGTTGTGCATGTGTGCCCGAGATCCTGAAAGGAGAATGGCACACCTCCCAGGGGGTGGTTTCTTACTTTCTCTGTCTTAGTCTTTCTCTGGTGAGCACCCACACCCTATGGCAAAAAAATCTCTCTTAAAAAAAACCTTGGGGTTGGCAGTTGGAGTGGTGGTTAAGAGCGCTGGCCCATTAAGTGTGATTTTTTTTATTTTTTTGAAAGGTTTTTGCTATAGGGGGCATGTGCTTGCCAGAAAGACAGAGAGAGACAGAGAGACAGAGAGTGAGAAATCACTCCCCAGGGGTATGGCCACACTGCAATCCCTTCGCCATTCTCCTCAGGGTTCTTGTATATGCACACGTGCCAGGTGTGAGTTTGTGAGTTTAAGCCACTCAAACTGCAGTCAACTACATGGGATTCCAGCGACGTAGTACACCAACTGCTGGTCCTACATTTAGTGTATTTTTTTCTTTTCTTTCCTTTCTTCCTTTTTTTTTTTTTTTTTTTGCTACAAGACATGTGTGCTTTCTGGAGAGAGACAGAGTGTGAGAGGGAAAATGAGAAATTAGCCCCAGGGGGATGGCCACACTGCAATCCCTTGTCCTCCATTTTCCTCTAGGGATTTTGGGCAGGCACACACATGTGCACGGCATGATTTTCAAGCTGCCAGGTCTGGGACATGAACCATGGTCACCCATGTGGGAGTCCAGCACCTAACTACTATAACTACTATGCCCCCTGCTGGCCCCTATAATAGGTATTTCATATAAAAGTTAATGTAATTTTAAAAACAATTGCTTAAAGAGGTTTTAGACTCCATTCTAGAGAATTCAGTTAGGTGGGAGAGTAAGGTAATGAAACTTGTGAACTTGATTGTCCTTCTAGGCCTAATAATTCTTTAACATAGTGTTTACTTTTCAACATTTTAATACATTATCTTTTAATACAAAATAGTTACATGCATTGCATTATTTTGCATTTTCATGTAGCTGAAGATTTAGGTTGCTAATATAGAATTACAATTTTCTAGACTAAATGCAATTTTGGAGAGAAGTTTCTGTATGTATTTTGTAGATTTTTTCATTTGCTTTTAATTTACAGGGTGCTGGTGTTGAACTGTATCCAGGGAGCATAGCCATTTTGGAAAGGAATGAAATCCATCACTGTAATAACCTCAGAACTAGCAACTGTTCAAAAAGCACCTTAGGTGGAGTAAATATGAAGGTATTGTCTTATTTCTTAATATAGAATTGTTACAGGAATTGCAAATAAGTATTAGACAATTTGGAAAAAATACAAGTAATAATTAAAATATTAAATGATAGCAGATTGAAAACAAGTTTAGCCTTGTAACTTAACAATTTCAGTTTAAACTCTTAGCATATAACTTTGGATATGAAAAGGTGGATAGGCTTTGCTCTTATGTGGATTTTTCACTAATCAGATCTGTAATACGTTTGGAAATTTAAAAAATTAAGAGAATAATAATGTTGTAAGGAATACTTTGAACCAGGTATGATGACATGTACCTACATTCCCAGCTACTGGGGAAGCTGAGGCAGGAGAATCATGAGTTGAAGCCAGTCGGGGCAAGACAGCAAGAGATCCAATCCTTAGTAAACAAAAACACTTTAAGTCTTCCTTTCAAAGTTGGGTAAAATAATTTAAGCTAACCAATTAAAACATAAGTAGTGGGACCAGCAGATGGTGTAATGGCTATGTCACTGGACTCCCACATTGACCATGGTTCGAGTCCTGGACCCAGTCACTTAAAACTCATGCCAGGCGTATGTGTGTGTGTGCCCAAGATCCTGAGAGGAGAATGGAGGAGAAAGGATTACAACGTGGCCATCCCCCTGGGGAGATGAGTTCTCGCTTTCTGTCTCTCTGTCTCTCTGGCAAGTATGCGCACCCTGTAGCAAAAACCTCTCAAAAAAGAAAAAAATTAGTAGCAATACTTTATAGGAAATGTCTTCCTACTTCTTTTTGCTTCCATAAATGCTCTTTCTAGGTCTGTCTCTAGGCTTGTGCAAATAATAAAGTTTTATAGTTTTGATATTTTTCACTAGAAATCTACTCTTTGTTTTCTGAATGTAAAATCTCAAATAGATTACAAACTACCGAAAGGTAAGAACTGTATTATATACCAGCAGTACTACCACTCCTCCCACAGAATGATTTAGGATGCTAACTGAGATAATTGGTCGAAATAAGGTACATAGCTGGCCTCACAGCCTAGGGGTTAAAAGAGCTGGGTCCCAAGTGGCTGGCCATAGTTTGAATCCTGCCCCTAGTGGCTTGAAATACACACCAGGGGCATATTCTTGCATGCTCCAAATCCTAACCAGACGGAAAAATGGAGGGAAGGGATTGTTGTGCCATGACCACACCCAATTGGAGGATGCATTCTGCGTTTCTCTGGTGAATGTGCATGCCCTCTCTCAACTAGGGGAAGAAAAGTCACAAATGGTAAATTGGAGCACCATGAGGACAATTCTGAAATCTTTGGTTTATCATAAAACCTTTTTTCTGTTAAGTATTTTTCTATTTTTCAGTAATTTGCAAATGTTACATTGCCTCAGAATCACCCCTGCAGAGTCCCCATCCCAGTTTCTGACTTAGTAGATCTGGGATAAAGCCAGAGATTTTGTTCTATTAAGTTCCCAAGGGATGCTGACACTGTTGGTTGAACTCAAGCTCTAAGAACCATCTCCCTGCTCCTCAAAGTGTGAGTCGGAGAGCGGCAGCATTGGCTTCTCCTGGCAGTCTGCTCAAAATGCACACTCTCCAGCCTCACCTCTGATGACTGAGTCAGAATCTGATATTTAACGAGATCACCAGAAATGTGTAAGTATGGTTTACAAAATGACAGGATCTGGCCCCTGCTTTCTCCAACCTTGTCTGCTTCCATTCTTCCTCTTAGGCATTTCCATTCAAGTCACACTGGCTTGTATTCCCAGAATTATATTATTTTTCAAATTTACCAGAGAGTATGTGTGCTTGCCAGAGACAGCAAGTGAGAAGGCATCCACATGGGGGATGGGCAGGTAAAAATCCCTTCGAGGTCACCTCCCTCCTTTCAGGATTTTGGGCACACATGCACGTGCACATGCACCCTGTGTGGTTTCTAAGTCATCAGATCTTTGACTCAAATCACACAGTCAGCCATGTGGGATGCAGCCACCTTAATCACCAGGCTATGGGCTGGCCCCCCAAAAAACACTAACCTTGTTCTGGCTGTTACCTTTAGCTGATAGACTCCTTCTGCATATCTCTAGTGGTTGCCTCATTAGTTATATCCGAACCTAACTGTTCCTCTTCAAAAAAGCCTTTACTGTAAAGAGCATTCTAGTTAAGTGGTAACGTTAAAAGAGTTAATAGTCCATCTAGTCATGCGATCACTCAGTATTACCTGTAATTCTTTTTTTAAAAGATTTTTTTGCCATAGAAAGCATACACTCACCAGAAAAACAGACAGAGACAGAGAGAGAAAAAGTGAGAAATTGCTCCCCAGGAGGGATGGCCATGCCACAGTCCCTTTTCCTCCATTTTTCTCCTGGGATTTTTGGCAGGCCTGCACATGTACCCAGTGTGATTTTCTTTCTTTCTTTTATTTATTCATTTATTTATTTTGAGAGGTTTTTGCTATGGGGAGTGTGTGCTCGCCAAAAATAGAGAGAGACAGAAAGTGAGAAATCACCCCCCAGGGGGGGTGGCCATACCGCAATCCCTTCTCCTCCATTATCCTCTTGGGATCTTGGGCACGCACACACACGCACACGTGCCTGGCGTGAGTTTAAGCCACTGGGTCCGGGACTCAAACTGTGGACAACTACATGGGAGTCCAGCGACATAGCCATTATGCCAACTGCTGGTCCCCACCCCCCCAGTGATTTTCAAACCACTGGAACCGGGACTCATACATCATTTTGCCTTGTGGGAATCCAGTGCCTTAACAACTATGTCCCCTGCTGTTTCAATATCAGTAATTCTTTATCTTCATGTTTATCATGTTTATTAAAGGTCAACATCATGAGCTACTGATGAATCTCCATCTAGAATGCTATTTTTATTAACTGATAAAAATAAAGTGAAAACTTCATTAATAGTTTTCTCATTAAACATTTGTTGTTGAGGAACCAGCAGATGGCGTAATGGTTCCATTGTTGGACTCCCATGTAGTTGACTACAGTTACAGTCCTGAACCCAACGACTTAAAACTCATCCTGTGTGCGTGTGTGCCCAAAATCCTGAGAGGAGAATGGAGAAGGGTTGCAGCATGGCCATCTCCCTTGGGGGTGATTTCTCGCTCTTTCTCTTTCTCTGGTGAGCAATATGTCCTATAGCAAAAATCTCTCTCTTAAAAAAAATTATAGGGACCAGCAGTTAGCATAAGGCCATGTTGCTAAACTCCCATGTCGTCGACTGCGGTTCACGTTCCGGACCTGGTGGCTTAAAACTCACGCTGGGCATGTGTGCGCCCAAGATCCTGAGAGGAGAATGGAGAAGGGTTGCAGCATGGCCATCTCCCTTGGGGGTGATTTCTCACTCTTTCTCTTTCTCTGGTGAGCAATATGTCCTATAGCAAAAATCTCTCAAAAAAAAAAAAAATTATAGTTGATATGACATCAATCTGTATGAGGAAAATAGCACTTGTTCAAAACTGAGTTTCAGTTGTTTAAAGATACTTGTTAATCCAAGAATAATTTCTAGGGCAATTTTTGTAGATTTATTAGTTCATTTTTAAAATAAAAACTATTGAAAAGCTAATTTCCTAAAACAATTTAACAGGTCCTTCCAGCACCAAAATTGAAGATGACTAATAATCATATTTACAACAACAATGGCTATGGAGTAAGCATTCTTCAACCAACTGAACAGTTTTTTATTGTAGAAGAAGCTCTCAACAAAGGAGCTGCTTCAGGAGACAAAAATGATGATAAAATGCTCTCCAAAGTAATGCAAAACTTGAATCTGGAAATGAATAATAATAAGATAGAAGCAAACCTAAAAGGGGATATCAGAATAGTCACAAGTTAAAGTCAGAAATATGTCTACTATTTCAGAAATGTATTTAATAATCCTCATATCCCACAGAAATGGTAGTCTTAATTAAATTCAAAGTTTAATTAAAAATATTTAAACATTAATGATCTCACTGAATGATTCATTTTAACATATTTTTACTAATAGCTTTACTAAGGGATAGCTCACATAACATAAAATTCATCCTTCAGAAAGTGGGTATTTCAGGCTGGACAGTGGTGCAGCAGTAAAACACTACATTCTGCGAGACCCAACCCTATGGGAAAGGTTCTGGGTATGTGTTTGGAGACCTCCCTGACTATGCCAGGGGTGTGTGTGTGCCTGCCCATGATCTGGGGCTGGCTGATGCTTGGGGGTGGATTGTGGCATAAAGACCCTTTACTTGTGGAAGAAATAAACTTAATAAAAAGTGTACATCGGGTGGGGGGGGCAGGTGGCATGATGGTTAAGGGTGTTGGACTCCCACATGGCAGACTGTGATTCGAGTCCTTAACCTGGCGGCTTGCTTTCTCACTTTTTCTCTCTGTCCCTCTCTGGTCAAATTTAAAAATAATAATAAAGTTAAATCAAATTATTCTAAAAAATAATGTGTACAATTGTGGCTGACTGGTAGCATGATGGTTAAGGATGCTAGACTCCCACACGGCCAACAGCATGGTTCAAGTCCCAGACCTGGTGACTTACTTTCTCTCTCTCTCTCTATTCCTCTCTGGTCAAATTAAAATAAATAAATAAATCAATAAAGTTAAATAGAATAATTTTTAAAGTATACAATTAAGTGATATTTAGTATTAGAACATGGTGCATTCATTACTATGTAATTCCAGAAACAAATGTCTTTATACATTGTTTTTAACACGCAGATAAATAGCATTAGGTAATAGCATTAGGTATTCTGTACAAGAAGTAAATTAAACCAATTTGTAGCCAATTCCCAGTAATCAGAATATGGTCATTCAAGACTTCAAAAGCTCATGAAATATAGAATTAAGAAATAAGAACTTTATTTCTCAATATAAGTTCCATCAAGGCCAAGACACTCCTAAATGAGACCAGCTATTAAGTCAATCTCTAACAAACTGAAGGTCCTGGGAGCTTAATCATGTCAATCTTTTACATTTACTGAAGAAAATTGAGTACCCTTTAAAGATAGTTTAAAATGAGAAAATAAAGAGAGTCAGGAGGGGTCAAATCAGGACTTGATGCCCAACGATTTCCCTCGAAAACTTTTGCAAAATTAACCTTGTTTGTTGAGAGGAAAGAACAGGAGCAATATGATGGAGGACTCTGGTGAAGTCATCCAAGGCATTTTTCTGCTAAACCTTGACTTTCTCAAAACACTCTTCAAGTGATAGGTTTTGTTCTTTGGCCCTCCAGAGATAAAACATGCAAAATGCCTTGAGCATCTCAAAACCCTTGATCTCATGTCTGCTTTTGTTTTGACTGGGCAACTTCCACCTCTTGGTAGCCATGGCTTTGTGCTTTGTCTTCACCACTGTACTCATCCCTATTAAACTCTTCTAAGAAATGCTTTAGGATGTTGATCTCTCTTGAGAGCTCTGCTCCTATCTACAGCTGATCTGGGTGCAACAGTATTGGTACCCATTCAGCAGAAAGTTTGCTCAGCTTAAATTTTTGTCAGAACTGTGTAAGCTTAACTGTGTCTGTGGTGTTGGCTATTGTTTCTGTTGTTAATCGTCATATCCCTTCATTTTAAAAAAAATTTTGCCCAAAGCCATGTGTGCTCACCTGAGAGTGAGCGAGCGAGCGAGCAGCTCCTATGGGTAATGGTCAGGTCACAATCCCTTCTCCTTTGATAAAGGATATCTTTGGTGGCTACCCCATTATTTATATCTGAACTGCAAGGCATCCTTTGGGATTAGGGACATGCATGCCTCTGTGTGTTTCTGAAGCTTCTAGGTCCGGGACACAAACCAAGAAGTTGGCCATGTGGGATCCAGCCATCTTAACCACCATGTCACAAAATGACTGACACATCCTTTCTTTTTTCTTTTTTGGAGGTTTTGGCTATAGGGTACGTGCACTCACCAGAGACGGATAGAAAGCGAGAAATCACCTCCCAGGAGGAATGGCCACACCGCAATCCTTTCTCTATTCTCCTGTCAGGATCTTGGACACCCATGCATGTACGCACACCTGGCATGAGTTTAAGCCACTGGGTCCAGGACTTGAACCGTGGTCGATTACATGGGAGTCCAGCGACATAGCCATTACGCTGTTGGTCCCCGACACATCTTTTCTAAAGACAAGTGATCCATTTGTGAATTGATGATTTATTTGGGGCCGTATCTCTGTAAGCTTTCATAGGAATGATTTTACTATTCTTCCACCCAAGCTGCATAAATCTGATGTGTATTTAGCTTCAATTTTAGCAGAATTCATGTTGTTCTGATAGTGCCTTTCAAACCTATGTCTTTCTCAGTACCTCAAATTAGATCCTGTTTAGACATGTTCAAACGAGTTGGTATGAGTTTATTTTAGTGCAAAAAGGTTTCCAAAATCCACGTAGTTTTTCCATAATATCCATTTCCATGTGCTCTTTGAAGATTCCATATGACACTAGGTTAAAATAGGCTTGGATTCACCCACAAGAAATAAGGAAATCAAGAGAAAAATATATAAAAATGGGGGCTGGTGGGTGGTGTGCTGGTTAAGGGAACTGAACTCTCACATGGCTAACCACGGTTTGGGTCCCAGACCTGGTGGCTTGCTTGTTTTCTCTCACTTGCTCTCTCTCTCTGGTAAATTAAAATAAAGTTAAATAATTCTTTAAAATAATAAAATTCTATTATCTATCTATAGATAGGGGGACAGAGAGAAAAAGTGAGAAAGCAAGCCACCAAATCCAGGACTAGAATTGTGGTCCACCATGTGGGAGTCCAGTGACCTTAACCACCATGCCACCTGCTGGCGCCATGATTGAATATTGGTTTAACACAAATTTATTGTAATTCCTTAAATCAGAAGTCTAACATGGGCTTCACTGGGCTAAAACAAGGTGTCAATAAGTCTGCATCTCATTTTGGAGGCTGGTTTCCTTGTTCATTTGGCTTGTTAGCATTTGATTTATAGTATTAAAAAATAACCCAAAATGTCTATACTTTTACAAGTTAACATTTAAAATATTTTACAAGTGAACCACTTGAGAAATACTAAACACTGAGCTATGTAGCCAATTCCTTAATTACCTTTATTTACAGGTCTGAAAGAAGTATGGAATATCAAGGTTTAAAAAAAAATGGGGGGAGAACCAGCAGTTAGCGTTAATGGCTACGTCGCTGGACTCCCATGTAGTCGACCGTGGTTCGAGTCCCAGACCCGGTGGCTTAAACTCACGCCAGGCGCGTGTGCATGCACGGTCAAGATCCCGAGAGAGAACGGAGAAGGGATTGTGTAGTGGCCATACCCCCTGGGGTGATTTCTCGCTTTCTCTCTGTCTCTGTCTTCCTGGCGAGCGCATGCGCCCTATAGCAAAAACCTCTGAGCATTTGCCAGAGAGACAGAGATATAGAAAATGAGAAATCACCCCCCAGGCAGGATGGCAATGCTGCAATCTCTCCTCCTCCATTCTCCTCTCGGGATCTTGGGCACATACGTACACGTGTCCTGAGTGAGTTTAAGCCACCACATCTGGGACTTAAACCACGGTAGACTACATGGGAGTCAAGCAACAGTGTCAGCACTATTGCTGTGCCACAATTTGATCTGTTTTTATAGCTTCCCCTAAAACTAAACTATCACTGAAAGAGTCTGATAAATTCAGGTGACCTCAGATAATTTTCCAAGATTTTTGATAAAATTTTTCAACGAGGTCTAGAAATATTTTTTAAAGATTTATTTAATTTTATTTATTCATTCATTTTATTTTTTTAATTTGACCAGAAAGATAGAGAGAGAGGGAAAGTGAGAAAGCAAGCCACCAGGTCCGAGAGTCTAACCGCGGTTGGCCATGTGGGAATCCATCGCCCTTATCCACTATGTACACACAATAGTCAACAAACATCAAAGTTAGACAAGTACAACCTTTTTTTTTTTGAGAGAGAGATTTTTGCTATTGGGTGCGTGCGCTCAGGACAGAGGCAGAAAGTGAGAAATCATCCCCTAGGGCGGATCCCTTCTCTTCTGTTCTCCTCCCAAGAAGATATCTTGGGCATGCAGGCATATGGGCCCAGCATGAGTTTAAGCCACCAGGTCTGGGACTTGAACTGTGGTCAACTCCATGGGAGTCCAGCAACATAGCTACTGTGCCAACTGCTGGTCCCAACAAGTACAACTTTTAAACACTTCTCTTCTAGACAGTAATTTAGAAAGTATGTTGGAATTCACAAACTTTTCCTAGTTAAAACCAAAATTCGAATCATTTCAGACAAAGAGAAATTATTTTCTGATAATTCAACCTTCAGCCCCCAGTTTTGAGTGGCGAGGCAAGGGACAGGCCTTCAGAAGACTTACATTGCTACAGAGAACTAGTCATTTCAGGGAAACTGGGTCCAAGTACTTTCTGACCACAGTAGAGGGATAAAGAACCAGTAAAGGGGCCAGTAGATGGCGTAATGGTTAAAAGCATGAGACTCCCACATGTCCAACTATGGTTCAAGTCCAGGACCTGGTGGATTGCCTTATCAAACTCCCCCAATCTCCCATCTGTCTCTGGTCAAATTGGAAAATACTAAAATTAAAATAATTCATTAAAAAAGAATCAAGCAGAACACTGCAGTCTCATTGAGCCAAAGACTGAGACTAGAGTTTGTGGGGCAGTTCTGAAGGGAGCTGGAGAGGGAGGTATAGAAATTGGAATAGGGATCTCTTCAGGTTTATTTGAACACAGATTACAAAACTATGGCAGTTCCTCTAAGCTTCAGAGACTTCGACATCCCCTGATCATCCTTCAATTTCTTTTTAAAAAATTTTTTAAAGTGGCTATAGGGCACATAGGAGCTTAGCCTCTACCTAGTACACAGTCAGTCAGGAGAGGTGGTGGGGCTATTAGATTTGTATAGAAACTAAGGGTGCTAGACTCCCACATGGCCAATAGTGGATCAAGTCCTGGACCTGGC